GAAAGTTGGTACTTAAAGGAGAAGTACCAAAGTACATACCGTTACTCGCTCACATTCCGATCATCTCCCCGCAGGGATTCCCCCCTGCCCTTTACCGCTGACTGGCGGAACGGAAGGGGGAGGGGTACAGCTGGCTCTGCCTCTAGATAGGCAGAACCAGCTATCACTCACGCAGCTGGGTGGATCCAGACAGTATTGTCGGGATCCGTCCAGGCCGCGGCACTCTCAGTATATGGCGGGCAATAGCTCGCTATATACTGAGTTTTGGGTCACGGGAGGACGCTAGTATATGTCCTCCTGTGACCCTTAGGAGAACTATGGGGAAAAACACTTACCTCGTAGTTCTCTTTTAAAGTGCAACTAAGTCCAACCCAAGAAAAATAAAGTAGGTAGAGTTTTTATTGGCTTAAGGGACTTTATATATGGCCCATTGAGCTTCAGCGAAAGGGGGCCCTGTCTGATGTAAGTATGGCATGATTTTGAGGTTGATCTGGAAACAATTTAGATAGAGAGGTGATCAATTTGCCAATACTGTTTTTAAGTGGGTGGTGGGACTCGGTGGTGCTATTTAAAGTGTATGTAAACACTAACAATGAACGTCTCTCATTGGCTCCATTTTGGTCTATTTAATATGCCATTGGAGGCATTTTGTTATATCTGTTTGATAAGTATGAAGAAAAAAAAACAACAACTTGTTAATCTCATCTTAGGCTACACATTGATTCGCCTTTTTGTTATAGAGATCTGAGAGTGGTTAAATAGTTTAGCAAAAGACATTGGGTAGGGCTGACACCTCTCAGTCCACAAAAATGTTTTATGTTATCAACACACAACAGGATTCAGAACCTGATGGCATTTTTGGCAGATCAACGGACATTCTTCTGTACTTCCAGGGACTTTACAGGGATAAAACATGATGAAATATGCTGCAAATGTTATTTTTATTTTGCCTTGGCATACAATTTAAGTCTGGAGGGAGTGGGATCCACTGTCCTTGAGCTGCAGTAGTCTCCTGGCAAGTTCCCTTCCACCCTTCAAGTTCTTTATTGTCGCAGATTTTATTAGCGGGTTTGACCTTGCCAACGTGTTAACGACATATCTTTTATGCCAATTGGACCTTTGATTATTGGTTGTCAGTCCGGGACTGATGGGTAGGACAGGTATGTAAACAAGGTTATAGTAGTTCGGCGCTCACAGTTTATCTTCCTGACTGGCATGATTTTGTTTTTTTCTTCCAGCGGTTAATATTGTTTTTGCTGTTGTAAAGGCATTAATATGTGGTGTTTGTTACTCCAATAAAGCTGTGGCCTTGCCCTTCCCAGCATACTCTAATTGGTTCCTTAGTCTTTATTGGCCCAGGCCCTATATCAGTTTGAGATTTCAGTTCTGATTCATGCCCATGCTTCTCAGCAGCCATGATAAAAAAAAACTTTATTTGTCTTCTGGCACTTTTCTTTTTCTGTATGTGGGAGAAGGAAAAAGTAAAAGGCCAAATACATTTAATAGAAGTAACTCTGAGCACTTGAACACATCACTTTTCCACATAGCTCCCATGCAAGATGATGCACTTGTTGTATCCTTCAACTAGCTTCTGTATTCCTACAGAGAAGAAGCTTTTCGGGCTGCTGCTGCTGCTGAAGCCAGGTGTGCACCGCTTCCTTTACTTCATCATCTGAGGTGTGTAGTGATATAAATGGCAGGGTGTATAAATACTGTGGCAGTGCGTTGCAATGCTATGGTGTCTTTTGGCAATATAGTCACCCAGGGCTCTCAGCCAGGGGGGCTGAGCAGTTCCAGAAAGCGCAAACGTTTACTGGGAAAGAGCTGGCTTTGCAGTTCTTTCCAGGTTTTCCGGATTGGGCATGGGTTCCTGGAACTGGGAGATTTCAAAGGGCATTGGGAGGGATTTGCGATGACTGCAATGAGGGGCGGGCTTGCAAGCACGGCAAACGGGCAGCGTGCGCACACCGGCCCGTTCGTCAGTTGTCGAACAAGCAGGCCACTCACTCGCCGAGAATCGTACGATTCCCGGCGGGTTTTCCAGCCTGCTTGTTCGATAGAAGACGTGCGACCGTACAGTAGAAACGGTCGCACGCCTTCCATACACTGTACGATTCTCGTACGATCGCGGGATTTCCCGCGATTCTCGTACAGTGTATGGGCACCTCTAGAATGTGTTCAGGGTTCCACCTGGGAGACAGAGAAGGTCTCTGTGCAGGAGTCAGGAGGGCTCCACCCTGGAACCAGTCTGCGTCTGGCAGACTGAGGAGCGTATGACCAGTGTGGTGAAAAGTGCGGGAAAGGCGTTTGGATACAGCCGTATTGTAAACCGACAACCTAAAGTCGGTAAGACTTTGAAACTTTTATTTTGACTGAAGAAAAGCTGTACGTTATGTTTGAGAACCCCTGCGAGGGAAAACCTGTGTGGACTTTTGAGTTGGATTTAATAAAAGTGGGCACAGAAGCCCTTAAAAAGAAGTCATAAGCGAGTGGAAGAGTCCTTAATGTGCTACCGTTTTAAGCTAAATCTCACAATACAAAAATAAATATATATATATATGTGTGTGCGTTCTGAAAATTGGATCTTCAGGAAATATCCAGGCAACCTCAGTTCTTTTCCAGAGAGTAGCGTTTAATCCAAAAAAACAGATGAACAGGAACAGTCCAACAGAGTAATAATAAAAATAAAATAAAAAGTAAAATAATGAAAATTCCCAGCGAGTACCTTTCTCTATACCATCTCTCTCGCCTTCTCTATACCATCTCTCTCGCCTTCTCTATACCATCTCTCTCGCCTTCTCTATACCATCTCTCTCGCCTTCTCTATACCATCTCTCTCGCCTTCTCTATACCATCTCTCTCGCCTTCTCTATACCATCTCTCTCGCCTTCTCTATACCATCTCTCTCGCCTTCTCTATACCATCTCTCTCGCCTTCTTTATCTCTCCTCTGCCCAATTTCAGTCTCTCCTCGATATACCCATTTTCCTCATTCACTAAAATGTGGAAGAAGCTAATTGGTTGACCAGAGAAAAACTTTTGATCTTATTGTTGCCAACAGATCCTTGATTCCCATTGCATTGATGCATTGTTTATAACCTTTTCCTATGGCAGATGTATAACCAGATCTGACTTTGAATTGACAATTGTTGATGATTGACGATTTCCTATTTGGCATGTGTGAGGAATAGCTTCAAATGGTAGCACATTCAGGACACCTCCACTCGCTTTTTATTTTTTAAGGGCTTCTTTGCCCACTTTTATTCACTTGCAACTCAAAAGAAAAGTCCACACAGGTGTTCCCTCGCAGGGGTTTTCAAACAAAGTACAGTTTTTTTTAATCAAAACATTTTCAAGTCTCACCAACGTCAAGGGGGCTCCTTTAACCAAAAGTGCTTGCCACACAGGCTTGTCTTTCACCACACAGGTGAACTGCTCCCCAGTCAGCCAGACTCACAGACTGGTTCCAGGGTGGGGCCCTCCTGACTCCTGCAGAGACCTCCTCTGTCTCCCCAGTGGAACCACTCACTTAGCAGCTTGCGATATCTTAAGGTGCCCATACACTGCACGATTATCGTACGATAATCGTATGCGATCGGTTTTTCGTACGAGAATCGAGCAGTGTGAACGGAGACGTGCGACCGTTTCTACTGTACGGTCGCACGTCTTCTGTCGAACCAGCATGTTCGAAAACCAGCCGGGAATCGTACGATTCTCGGCTGGTTAGAACGGTGCTCGGAAGATAAATGCTGAACGGGCCGGTGTGCGCACGCGCACACTGCCCGTTCAGCATTGCGGTCATCGGAAGCCCGCCCCTCAGGGGGGCGGGCTTGCGATGATCGAGAGTGCGATCTGCCTGTCCAAGATAGGCAGATCGTACGTTTTTTTAATCCCTTTACAACCATCGCAAGACTAAAGTCTTGCGATGGTTGTAGAGTGTATGGCCACCTTTATGGAGGCCCTAATGAGCCAGCTTCCTTCAGCTGGGCTGGTTACCTCTAGGCCTCCAGCACACTCAACACTTCCCCCTAGAGTCAGAACCTCAGCACTACACCTATAACTGGGCCCTACAAATCTGCCATCCTGGCTATACCTAGACATCCCCATCTGCCTGCTGCCACATATGTAATTACAAATACAAGACTCTACTAGTGCCACCAAACATCTTATCAATCCCATTAACAAGGTGAACCTGCGAGTGCAGAGCGCCTTCTTCCTTTTGCTCTCCGGGTCGTAGTGGTGCACCCATGTCTCGTCGCCGGTTCCAATTCTCTCCAGAACACTCCGATCTTCATAAGTTTTCAAGAACTGGGTGGCAAATTCCACCCGCTGTTGCTTGTGCAGAGCAGTAAGCTGTTTGGGAACCCATCGTGCACAGACTTTCCTGTATCCAAAGACATCATGCGCTATGGCATAGCTGATATCCAAATGTGCAGCCATATGAGACACTGTTCTCCTTTGTTGTTCTTCGATGGCATAATTTTGTGCCTTCCTCCGGATTAGCAGCGGGTATTTGGGGGCATAGCGCCCTGTTTCGGCTTTTTTTTTTCTTTTTCATATCTCTATAGGTTGAACTTGATGGACATGTGTATTTTTCCACCTGACTAGCTATGTAACTATGTAATCTCGCAACAGAGCATCCATATTTCTGTCCACATGGCTACCACTCGACTAAAGTCCAAGTGCTGTACTGCGCATGGTCTATCTATCCAACAGGCTATGTAAATATGCTGCATTGTGCAAGCTTCTCTCTGTTACAGTGTCATTTATAAATTGCCTTGACTTTTCGATTCTCCCTCGTACTTGTGCAGCGCGCACACTCTCATGTTCTGCAAGGTGCCGGGAGTTCGCACGAATGCTAAGACAATAAAAATTCCAGCACGCATGTGCAGAAGTTACATCATCAGTGATAAAGCAATGAATTGGTCAAACATGGAAAACACTAGTCGGGAAGAAGCGGAGGAGAACATGGCAGCAGAGACAACAACAAAAAAGCGGACACTGCATTGCTTTTTAAGTTTCACTTATGGGAGGTCGTTATCTCCAAAAGTATCAAAACCATATGATCAGCTTAACAGCCTGGCAAGTAGCATTTGCAGAGGATGAGGTCAGCAAAGGCAGCCCCCCCAATATGTCTTGTGACAAGTGCACTGAAGGTATATATGAAAAGGCCAGGCAAGTGTGTTGTGCCTTCCCCCACGTGTGCTCGATTATGTAACCCATCTCAAGTGTCGGAATTAAGGCTGTTTGTAGTGCTGGAAGGTATAATTTAGTGAACGTATTAAACACCTGACTGTTCTCATGTCCTCCGCAGTATAAAGGCCCAAGAATGCCGTCATAAGATGGCCGTTTTTATGACTGCCGAGACACTGATGTGAAGCGGTACCGGCTTTTTATACGGGCCATTAGCAGCGGTGTCAATCACAGTTAGAAGCGGAGACACTCCGTCCCGATGTATACTTACAGCTTATTACGTGTGAAGTTTGCTCTTCTGAAAGTGGAGAAGTTTTCAATGAGCCAATTCATCACAATAAGTGCAGCTTAATCCTTCTTTTTTTCTGGGACGGCACGTACTGTATGAGTAGTAGAAGTGGCAGCTTCACCTATAGCAGCTCTGTTACAGGTGGCGCACGTATGCCCTTGGCTTCTTGCCAACCCGAGCCCTCTAAGGTTTTGCCAAAATGTTCTTGTTTGGTGAATTGTTGATTATATGTGGGCATTGTAGGACCGAATAGGGTTGCCACCTGTCCAGGATTCACCCAGACAGTTCGGGTTTTGAATGCTCTGTTCGGGTTTCCTGGCAGCAGAAATCTGGACACAAGATGTCAGGCAGACGGGGGCAACCAAAATTAAGATCGGGGCTACTGGCCCCCCCACTGAAAATAGTCTCACCTGTAATATTTGCATATGAATGGGTGGTGCTATTTAGATATGAATAAGCCACAGCTAATTTTCCCCAAAAATTGCCTGTGCGTCTCTAGAGTGTTCGGGTTTCGCTTGAAGAAAAGGTGGCAACCCTAGGACCGAATCATCTGTTGGCTTTACCTCTCAGACTTCAGTGGCAAGATCTCCTACCATTATAAAGTCATCACTCTGTCAGGTGGACTCCCCAATCTACCAAGGAAGGGTACACCACTGTTTGGCCTTATTATGGCTCAGCCAATTGGGAATTCTGATGGGGAACTGATTGCTGAAGTCCCTGAGAGATGTAATAAGCCGGCATTTGATCCAACTTGCCTGATTCAATGGTCTTTTGGCCTTGTGCTTTCTGATCCGTACAATGGTCGAATCAGGGATAAAGCCTGCAGCGGTCGGTTCCAGCTTACTGTGCAAATCTATATGAATAGGGGAAGCTATATCCTTAAAAAGAGATTCGGGCTGCCTTAGTCCAAATCTAAGAAATAACGAGAGCAGAGATTGCAGCGGCTTCTGGGTCTGATAAAGTCAGGGGGCCAACTCTTACTGGCCATACCTCCTTATTTCCCAGCTGTATGCTCACATTATAGTATATACAGAATAAAGCAGAGTTTTTACTTTCTCCATGCTAGCAAGATTAGTAATGTTATTGCACTATAAGAAACTGTACTGGGTAGGATACCAGAGTTTGAAGTCACGGACCACCACAAAGGTAAGTATACAGCATCGGCCTTGTTTACTTTGGACTCTGTGGTGACAGGGTCCCATTGAGGCAGTCCTAACCAACTCACTAACACTAGTACAAGACGCATGCTGCGGTATTCAGGATACTGGGGTTCTCTTTCTATTTCATGTTGCCGGAGATATTTAACAATTTTTCATTATTAAACTACATAAACATGCTAAGTATACAAATATGGAATAGCAAATAATAGCAAAACACAACAACTAGCGCGGTTTGTAGCTTACATGATACAAATTATACAATTTGCAAAACAAATTCTTTAGTCGTAGGTCTGCAAATAATTCTCTTTGGCAAAGGAGAAAAGACTGAGTGCTGGTTCACACCTGGGCTTTTTTCAGCGCTGATCGAAGCGCTGAAAAACGCACAGCAAGTGAAATCCTATTAACTCCTATGGGCATGGTTCCCACCTGGGCGTATTTCAGCGTGTGGGAACACTCTTAAAAACGCCCTACGCCCAAACAAGTACAGGAGCTTCTTTTGGGGCCTTTTTCCGCGCGTATCCATTGGTATTCCCGAGTGTGGCTCGGGGTTAACAAAGCGGTAACCCCGAGCCACACTCGGGAAAACAGCGTAGGTCTTCCTACCTTGTCCGCGATCCCCGATGTGTCCTCCAGCCGCTGCCGTCTTCCGTCCCTTGCGAGCGGCCACGTCGCAAGGGGGCGGAACCGGCGGGAAGATTGAAAGTTTAAAAAAAAAAAAAACCCCGAAAAAAAGATAGAAAATAAAAGGACATTTTTACAAAAAAATCATACCGCCAGGGAGGTATAAAAACGAGCGTCAAACGCGTGTTGCACTGAACTAAAAAACATGCTAAAAAACGCGTCTATAATACGGCCTGGTGTGAACCCAGCCTTAGGGCTATGTGCCACTCTCATGGCAAGACTGTAAGTGAATGCCCACCAAAAAGATGTTTAAAGCAGAACTATAGTTTTAAACACAACCCCCCTACACACACATTTTGTTTTTGTAAATTCCCTTCATGCATGCAACTTTTCATGCCAGTCAAGTAACCTCTTCTGGTCTTCTTCCTCTCCTCCCTGCAGTGTTGGTAGCTGTTCCAAATACTGCAGAGAGTAGTTCTTGCATTATGATGTCGGCGCTACCCTCTGCTACATTTCACTGTAGGGCCCAGGCTGACAGTACCTGGTGGGGGCGTCAATGACATCCTGGGCCCACAGGAAAAGGGTTGAATGTGGCTGGCTGTCAAAGATTTTGTGCTGGATACAAGATAAGTATTGCAGAGACATCTGCATTCATTATTTTTTTAAAGTCTAGTCCAGGTAATAACATAGTAACATAGTTACTATGTATTAAAAAAATTAATAAAACTGGAAATCTGCTTTAAATTCTAGGTTTGAAAGGGGGTGGGGGGGCTTTCATCATTATCCTTCCTTTAATACCTAGTGAATCGCTGACCCAGAACAGAGAAGTGCCTGTAAGGTGTCCTGACAATTCAATGCACCCATGCTTGCTCAAAGTCAGCGGCTCATTGAGTAGCGCAGCAAGATCAGGGTCCCAGTCTGGCGCACATAACTTCATAAACAAGCAGGCGTTGTATGTTTATATCCTGAAAGCTTTCCTTGATCCTTCCATATAGTATCCAAAGCACATTTGCGAGATTGGTATACTGACGAAGTAGAATCTGCTGCCCTCTTGTGTTACCTTTTCAGGGTGCAGTTTACAATCTGTTTTTCTTGGGATGTAATTCCTACACACAAAAAAAAGTTTATAAATATAAAAGTGCAGCTTATTATCTATCCATGTTATCTGTTGCCTGACATTTTTCTCAGCCACAAAATGGTGAAAGGAATTTTGTTCTCCTAATGAAAAATGAGTGAGGTAGCTACTCTATGTGCATGCTTGAGGGCGAGATGGTGTCATTATGGGTTCAGCATTATGAGAACTCTGGGGGTGGAGGGGGGGTGGTTGTGCAATGGTGCAAAATGAGTGGGGCGGGTGCTGGTGGAGAGTGACGCCATTAAGAGCTGGGCAGGGGGATGTGTAAGGACTCTGCATCTCCTCGCCTGACTATTAGCAACTTGAGATGGTGTTTCCAGCATCCTGCCAACCAATGACATCACTGGAATACAGGAACTCTGCGGGATGCTCATGCCGCTCTGCCTGCTGCCTCCCCCTCCCCCTCATGTGACCTGAAGAGATGTAGCTTGAGGCAATAGCCTCATTATAGGGAAGGCCCTGCACATAAGATAGGGAGGGCAGGAGGCACAACCATTCTATGAAAACATAGCTGTGGATAATCTCTCTCTCTCTCTCTCTCTCTCTCTCTATATATATATATACACTGTATATACACACACAAAAACAGAGTAATCTATAAGCCATGAACAAAAAAACATGGCAAGTTTCACATACACGATCCTGTATTTAATAAGACAGCTTCTATAGTTCTAAACACCTCTCACGTGTAGGAATTCAATTCCAAGAAAAACAAAATTCTAAATCTGCATACTGCAAAACGACCACAAGAGGGCAGCAGATGTAACCGCATCAGTATATTTTATTTCTTCCATTGCAGAAAGCGGAATCTGATGACAGACGCCCATTTTTGTTTCAGTTTAATTTGAACTCTTTTTTTAATCCAGTTTTGCACGATGGTCAATGAAAAATACAATACAAAGTGCAAATAATTTAAAAGTCAACAGAATGAAACTTAAACAAAGGATTAAAACTGTTTAAAAACGTAAAAGGAGTCCAAGATAGCGTCTGTAATAATAATAATAAATCTGAAGTTCTATTACAATGCAATATATATATATTGTTTGTAAAGCACTGAGCAAATTGTTGGCGCTATATAAATCCTGTATAATAATATATATATATTTAGAGAATCATTGTTGCGACGCATCATTTCATACATTGGTGTGTCTGTGATTACAGGTTACCTGCAGGCTTCCCGGGCCCTCATGATTTCAGCGTTAGTCTTTGGGTTATTCTCATGTCTGAGTGGGATGGTTGGACTGCAGTGCACGAAGGTTGCTGAAGAAAATTCTGTACTGAAGGGCAAGTTTGCAACAGTAGCCGGAGCTCTCTCTATATTTGCAGGTGAGTTGAATATAAATTGGTTATATATCCCCTCATCCCGTATGGATCACACAGCTTTGGTGTTGGTAAAAGCAACTCTGCCAATGACTCTGAGAACTCCCACTGGGGCTGCAAATAAACATCTCTGAATGAGAAGTCAACCTTTTGGGGCCTCAGCCAACAATATTGCCAAAAAGCAGCTATCTTCTAATGCCTAAGTCCTTGTAGAGCAGTGATTCTCAACCTGTGGGTCGCGACCCAAAAGTGGGTCGCAACCCACAGTTGAGGGGGTCCCCACGTGGCTTGTGCTGCTCTAGGTAAGAGGCTCCTCAGCCTCCTCCTAGCGCAGCAGTGTCAGTTCTCCTAGATGGTGCTGCAGCAGCAGCGGCCAGAGAGGATCAGAGAGAGGGGAACAGGCAGGAGTTAGGGGAGGTGAGTGCTTGATCACCACAGAGCCCGCACTGGCCACCAGAGAGTCCCACTAGCCTCTTGAGAGCCCACACAGATACTACTATTGGTGCGTCCCTAAATTTTACGGTTGGGGGTCACCACAACTTGGCAAATGTTACCGAGGGGTCCCGGCCCTAGAAAGGTTGAGAACCACTGTTGTAGAGCATCTGAATTCTAGGCCCAGGCTGTACACCAGGCATTGGTTTCTGCTCAAGTCTGAACTACACCCCACTCCTTCTTGAAACATGACCCTGCCCTAACTCATTCCATTGACTCTTGTCACTGCTGCCAGGCTCTCTCTCTGTCTCCACCGGTGGCACTTCCAGGCTCCTTCTGTAGTGTCTTAGCCAATTAAGTCATAGGCCTACATCTCTTAACTGGGCCACACCTATGTAAAGGAACTCCATCAACATGTCTGGTAATGCTTCCACTTGCTTCCTAGCTACCTCCCTGTGCGCTTGATTTGGGTCTGTTGCTTCTTAAGACTGACTTACCCTGGACTGTCTTCGGATTCACATTTCCTACACCTGCCCCAAACTCTGGTCTGTTTTTGGGTTCTTCTTTATCTCTGACCGCGTTCCAGCCTGCTCCAGTGAGGTCTGCAATCTGGCTGCCTTGTCCAGTACGCTCTTCGTCAAGTACGCTCCTGTGCTGGGCTCTGCAGTCTATGTCCTTTCTTTGTGGCTTGGTACCTGTCTTCACTGATGCCTAGAATGCTCCAGGGGGCATTGGCTTCTGTTAGTGCGGGTTAGTCTCCAAACGTTAGAGCAGAATGAGCCTGGGGGGTCAGAACCTGGGGTCAGCGTGCAGCTAAGTCCAAACCTTCGTAAAGAGTACCCTGGCAAAACACCGGCTGCTCCTTTGTCTCTGCACTCTGGGGGATCTGACTCCTGCTCACACGTGTGTTCACTTCATTCACCGTTGTGATGACTCTGAGATTTGGGCATTGGAATTTCAAATGAATGGGGATGGAATCTAGCACAGAGGGGTGAACATGGGGAGAAGCTTAAAGGGAAACTCTTGCCTTGTGTCTCCATGAAGCCTCCCCCCAGGCATATATACTTGCACAACCATGCTCCCTCATTATCTCCCCACAGCAGTATCTTCATCTATATATGCTCCAGTGTCTTCTGGTGTCAGAACTTAGATGATGGATATCATGGCACCCCACATGTGTTTGGTCATGGTGATTGGCTGCTCAGGACTGAGCACCGTTACAGGAAAGGTCAAGTGCTCCCCCTTCCCCAGAAGCCCTGCTCCATTAGCGATGGCTCTGCCATTGCAAGGAGAGGCGAGGGAACGTGGCTTGGTATTATAACTACATGGGGGGGGGCTCTGTGTAGACACTCTCACTTTGCTATAAATGGTCAATGGTCTTGAAGTGGACCTAAACTGAGGAAGCCTTATCCTTTACAGTACCAGATAAAACAATTGTGAATAATATAACACTGACGGCATTTTGAAGCTGCTGTTTTGCCTAGGCCCGGAGAAAGTGGAGCACCATTTATCTTAATGAATGAAAGAAAAAAAAAAAGCCGGGAGGAGATGAGCCTGGTTATGTGACCTGAGAAAGTCGTAACTGGCCTCTTTTCCCAATCACAAAGGTCTCTCTGCTACATTATGCAGAGGGGGATCTGGGAGTCACCACAGGTTCTACATCAAAGGCTAGCTTTTATGAATTATTGTGCACCAAAAACCACACATTTGCCCAGCAGAGAGTAGATAGAGGTCTTTGCTGTCTGCTACAAATTGGCCCCGTAGTGTTGTCACCGAGAGAAGGTGGTAACATAATTTATACGAGTACCTCCTATGATGTAACATGAGCTGTTCTTCTTCCTCAGGTATCTGTGCTGGGATTTCTGTCTCTTGGTACGCGTTCAACATCACCGCGGAATTCTTTAACCCACTGTACCCAGGAACCAAGTATGTATGGATACCCACAGCTGGTGGCAAACAACTACGAAACAACAAATCACAGTGACTGACACAATTCTCGATTCTTTCCTCACTAGGTACGAAATTGGGCCGGCTCTTTACCTGGGCTGGTCGGGGGCTCTTCTAAATGTGGTTGGTGGATCACTCCTGTGCTGCTCATTCAAAACTCAGGTGGTCGAAGCCAAAAAGTAAGTATCTGTTTTCATAACATCATAGGCATCCATTTATAAAGAGTCAACCTTTCCTAAAGGGCTCTACAAAGGTTGAGCTGGCAGAGGGCCATTGCGGCATATTGGGTTGCTTGTTTGGGAGGCTGAGTAGGTCCCTTGTCAAGTTGTTTCCACGTTTCTAGGAATACAGTGTCATGTCAAACAGTTGAGTGACTTGTGCATATTTCTTTGAAGAATCCAAAAGTGGGTAAGAGGCAATAGCCGTAGTAGAGGATTGTCAATAAAAACGTATGGAACACTTCTCGGGGGAAGAAGATCTCTCATCAATCTCCTGAGACAGTCTGCTCTGATTTTAAGACATGGTTGATGCACCGTGAGTGTCTGTTTGAGACAATGACCATCCTTCACCCTTATAAACAGAAGTTATAAGAAGTTACTTCTAATTAGAAATAAGAGTTGGTGGAAATAGACGAGAACAGTGAGTCACATGGAACACAGATGAAGGCAGTTAGTAGAAAAATGCCAAGCCGTATCCAATTACATTGTGAATGTGTCTGCCTGACCATCATGCCTACACTTTATGACCAAAAGTATTGGGATCCCCCCTCCAAACGTTTGAGTTTTGGTGTTTCCAGTGAAAGGTACTGTTAATGCTACATCATACAGAGCCATTTTAGACAATCCTGCCCTTCCAACCTTGTTGAAACAGTTTTGGGAAGGCCTTTTTTTTTATTCTATGACTGTGGCTATGTGTACAAAGCCAGCTCCATAAAGACATCTTTAGATGAGTCTGGTGTGGAGGAACTCAAATGGCCGGCACAGAGCCTTGACTTCAACCCTACTGAACACCTTGGTGATGAATTGGGCTATCCATTAAAATCCAGGTCTTCTCATCCAACATCAGTACCGGACCTCACAAATGCTCTTTTGGCTGATTGGGCACAAATTCTCATATTCACGCTCCAAAAGCTTATGGAAGGCCTTCCAAGAAAGTTGAAGGCTGTTATAGCCACATAGGGGAGGTGGGGGAAATCCAAATTGATGCCCACTGTTTTAAAATGTCCATTTGTCCAGCTCATATAGGCCATACGGAATAGTGCAGTAGTAGACACATTTCTGACTTTCAGCGGTGGTGAAACTACAAAGGGGGGACAAAGTCTGCCTCTGGGAGTCATGAATGTAGCTGTCAGAGTCTTGTAATGCCTCATGGGATTTGTAATCACACCACAGCTGGACTTCCAGTTTGCCTACCCATAGTATAAATGTATATACAAATCACAGCATAGTTCTGAACGGGGCCATCTCTATAGTGAGGCAGCCTGAGGCGGTTGCTTCAGGCGGCATCTCATTGGGTCACCGAGGGGGCGGCAGGCGTGCTAAGAGCTCTTAGCAACCTGGCATGCTCTGGCCGGCGTCCCGCCCAGCTTACTGACGACACTGGTTGCCAGGAGCTGGGCCGGGCGCCGGA